CACTTTTCTTGTTTCTTGGCTTTTTTTTCAATATCCATTTTCTTTCTTCATCATTTTTATGTGTTTTTCTTCTTTTATTTTTCGTATTTCTTTCTATTTTATTTTTCTTGTTCAATTTTAAAGTAAGAATATGTTTACAAATTGTAAACATTTTTTGAAAAAAGCAAGCATTTTATGAAATTCTTGAATAGTTTTTGAATTTCTAGAACATTTTTATGAAACATAAAATATTTTATAAATTCAAGAACATTTTTTGAATTCATGAAAAGTTTGAAGTCCGCAAATATTTTTTGAATCCGTGCATATGCTTTTTGAATTGATTATTTTTTTAATTCTTAAAAGAAATTATGAAGATTTTTTGCAATTTGGAAATATATTTCGTAATTGATGAACATTTTTGAATCAGAGAAATTTTATTGATATTCCTAAATATTTTGTTGAGTACACAAACATCATGATGATTTTTTTAATATTGGAATAATTTTAAAATTTATGAGCATTTTTAGAAATCCATGAACATATTTCATATTCCTCATTTGCTTTTGAAATTTTGAATGTTTTTTAGAATCTGGGAACAAATTCTAAATTTTTACTAGTTTTGGAATTTGGAATATTTTAAATTCTTTTAACATCTTTTCAAAATATGGAACTTTTTAAAAAATTCAAAACTAATCCAAAAATTAAAGAAAAAAGTCGGGGAGCGCATGTCGTGCACATGGACCGGTCAAGAAGCGCGCTCTGCGAGAGTTGGTCTGCAGTGTTTGTGCGTCACCCAACATCATATGCAGTAAATAGGAGGTCGCACCAAACACATTCAAAATCTCTTGCCCCGCGTGTTTTGCGATGGCCCTAGGAGACTGGAGTCTGTAGCGAGATAGTGTCTTCCAACCTGGTCACCAGGCAGTACCAACCTCACATCTGTAGAGAATTATGTAACTCACAATGTATTAATCGGATGCAATATGCACGTATATATAAGTATATAGGAGAGCCACGTCCTCAACTATACAAGGAAAGAGGAGTGCTTGTTGTACAAGAAATATATGTGCAATATCTACATCTCAACACCCCCCACAGCCGAAGCGGCACCATAGTCGACACAAAGACTGGAGCGAAACTCCTCAAAAGACGCAGTAGGCAAACCCTTGGTCATGATGTCAGCAAACTGTTGGGAAGTAGGGACATGTAGCACGCGTACAGGACCAAGAGCCACCTGCTCCCGAACAAAATGGATATCAATCTCAATGTGCTTGGTGTGCCGATGATGAACCGGGTTGGCGGAGAGGTAGACCACGGAAACATTGTCACAGTAGACAATCATGGCTTTGTCAACCGGAGACAAGAGCTCGTGTAGAAGTTGTCGGAGCCAAGAACACTCTGCAATGACGTTGGCGACAGCGCGGTACTCCGCTTCAGCACTGGAACGGGAGACAATGGGCTGTCTCTTGGACGACCAGGAGATGAGGGATGGTCCAAGAAAAACGCAATAGCCAGACATCGAGCGGCGCGTGTCGGGACAACCAGCCCACACAGCATCAGAATAAGCAATCAAATCCAGAGAAGTCAAAGCTTGTAGGGACAACCCGAGGTCCAAAGTGCCCCGGATATATCAAAGAATGCGTTTGACCGCGGTCCAGTGAGCATCATGAGGAGCATGCATATGAAGACACACTTGTCGTACGGCATACTGAAGCTCCGGACGAGAAAGAGTGAGGTACTGAAGAACACCAACAATCGACCGGTAGAACAGAGCATCGGAAGCGGGAGAACCATCAGTAGCAGAGAGCTTAGCCTTCGTATCGACAGGTGTGCAGCCTGTTTGCAGTTAAGCATCCCGGCACGGTCCAGAAGCTCATAAGCATACTTTCGCTGATGAAGAAAGAATCCATCTTCCCGGCGAATCACCTCGATGCTGAGAAAATAGTGCAGAGGACCCAAGTCCTTAATGGCAAACTCAGCACGAAGACGGTCAGTAAGCTGTCGAAGAAGAGCAGTCGAGCATGCTGTCAAGACGATGTCGTCGACGTAGAGCAGCAGGAAAGCAGTAGCATCACCCTGGTGGTAGACGAACAGCGAAGCATCGGAGCGAGTGGAGCGGAAGCCAAGATGATGAAGAAATGCTGCGATGCGCTGGTACCTGGCGCGAGGGGCCTGCTTGAGCCCATACAAACACCGAGAGAGTAAGCACACATGATCCGGAGAAGACTCATCCACGAATCTCGTCGGCTGCTGACAGAACACTTGTTCCTCAAGATGACCATGGAGAAAAGCGTTCGAGACATCCATCGGGTGCATGGACCAGGATCGGGACACTTCTAGATGAAGAACAGTCCGAATCGTCCCGGGTTTCACAACCGGGGCAAAGGTGTCAGAGAAGTCAACACCTGCTCATTGACGAAAGCCGTGTACAACCCAACGCGCCTTGTGCCGATCAAGAGTACCATCAGGATGAAACTTGTGCTTGAATACCCACTTCCGGTGATGATGTTGGCCCGAGGGGGACGTGGGACAAGCTGCCAAGTGTGATTGCGCTGCAAGGCATCAAATTCCTCCTTCATCGCGGCAAACCACATGGGGTCGTGAAGCGCGGTACGGGAGGAGGTCGGCAAGGGTGACGGCGATGGAGAGGCCGTCGAAGCCACACAAGTGTACTCATCCGGAGAGTAGTGGGTGCTCGGCCGGTGGACACCCATGCGCGACCGAGTGACGGGGCCGGTGGGTGGGGGCACCACAGCAGCAACCGGCGGTGGAACGGCCGGTGATGGAGGAGCCGGGGACGGGGCCAGCTGTGAAGTAGCCGGCGACACGCCCGGCGAAGAGGCCGGGGCAGGAGCCGGCGATGATGCCGATGCAGGGACCGACGAGGCCGGCGAGGGAGCCGGCACAGATGCCAGTGAGGCCGGCGAGGCAGGCGAGGCCGGCGCTGAACCCAGCGATGGAGAGGCCGGGTAGGCCGGCACAGAACCCGGTGGTGAAGAGGCCGGCAAGGCCGGCTCGGAGGCCGGAAAGCCCGGTGAAGCAGCAGGCAGGAGCCGGAGTGCCGCGCGACCGGGAGGCGCCCCACGTCGTGGCAAGGAGCCAGGGCGGACAGGGTCAGCCAGAAAGGGGCCAGCTGCCGAGGAAGATGCCACCTGCTCTTCCTGTTTAAACGGGAAACAAAACTCGTCGAAATAAACATGTCGAGATGTGATGACACGGTGGGAAAACGGATCATAGCATCTATAGCCCTTTGCGTTAGCCAGGTAACCAAGGAAGACACACGGAAGGGAACGAGGAGCAAGTTTATGAGGAGTAGTGGCGGCTATACTAGGGTAACAAAGACAACCAAAAATACGAAGACCGTCATATGAAGGAGGGTACCCAAAAAGAAGGTGGTGTGGCGTAAAGTTCCAGCGGGTACGACATGGACGAAGGTTAATGAGGAGGGTGGCAGTAGCGAGAGCATCGGGCCAGAAGCGAGGTGGCATATATGCGTGGAATAGGAGGGTACGGACGCAATCGTTAAGAGTGCGAAGAATGCGTTCAGCCCGACCGTTCTGCTATGAGGTGTAAGGACATGTAAGCCGGAAAACTGTGCCATGTGCGGAGAGAAGATTGCAGATGGTGGTGGTGTCAAATTCTTTCCCGTTATTAGTTTGCAAAGCAAGAATGGGACGACCGAATTGCGTAGACACGTAAGAGTAGAAGACGGTAAGAGTGGCAGCAACTTCAGACTTCTTACGCAACGGAAAGGTCCACACAAAGTGAGAGTAGTCATCCAAGATAACAAGATAGTATGAAAAACCAGTATTACTAGCAACGGGAGAGGTCCAGACATCACTATGGATTAATTCAAGGTAACAATGCAACTACCGATGAAGAACTAAAGGGAAGGCGAACATGTTTGCCCAGAAGGCATGCGTGACAAGAGTGCGCATCCATTTTATTAAATGTAAAAGAAAAATCCCTAATAATTTGACGAAGAGCGGTGGAGCTAGGATGA